CTCATATTCCAAATCATTGATTTGATTCTTGGAATCTTCTAATCTACTGTTGAATCCCTGTAAATTATTCTTTATTTCAGTTAGTGTATGCTTAACTGGTCCTTTTTCATGTCTTTAACATTCTCATTAAGATTCTTAAAAGTCTCATGAAGATCCTTGAGTAAGCTTATATCCATGGTTTTGAACTCTGTATTCAATAGTTTACTTGCTTCCATTTCTTTCATTTGTGACATATTTCTTTGTCTCCGAATTTTGGCTGGTTCCCTGTGTTTGTTTCTGTATATTAGGTAGCGCTGCTATGCCTCCTGGAATTGGTAGAGTGGCCTTGTGTAGTAGGTGTCCTGTAGGGCCCAGTGGCTCAGCCTCTCCAGTCACCTGAGCTAGGTATTCTAGGTGCACCCCTGTGTGGGCTGTGTACACAGCCTTATAGTTGAGCCTTGATTGCTGTTGGCGTCACTGGGAGGAGTTGTTGTTCAGGCCAATTGGCTGTGAGGACCAGCTGTGACCACAGTGGGAGAGCTGCCGTGCAGGAGACACCCCTCTGGAGCACAGCTTGCTTCAGTGGGGCTTTCGTGTTCACTGAATCTGTCTTTTAAGTGTGTCAGTTGTAGATGTGTAGAGTTATAAGCAGGTATGGTCTGAAACTGTCCACTGGATGCACTGGCTATAGGGCCTCCAGGGAGGTGGAATGTCAGCCACTGCCTGGGGCCACCCAGCAGGAGCTTTAGAGGGATCTGCAGACAGCTGCTATTTGCTATTTATATTGGGCTTGGAGGTGCCCAGACAAGGCCCAGCTGTGAGGCGAGGCATGCTGGTGCTAGTGCCCCATCTTGGGCCTTTTATTGATAGGTCACCAGTTGCAGCTTATTTGAGCTATTTTAGCAAAGTCTGAAGTATGAGCAAAGACAGGCCATTCATATGGAAAAGCTGGTGCAAACAGCTTGGTTGTGGCTGCAAATTGGATGGGGCAGGGTCTTAAGGAGTCCCCAAGGTGGAATAGACTGATGGAGACTCAGATATGGCTGCCAGTCAGCTCTGTGATGGGGGAGGTCCTAGCACAGGAACTATGACTCTTTTGAGCACCCCCACGTGGGAGAAAGCCACTCCCAAGTTACTGCCCCAGTGCCAGACAATCCAGTTCCTCCCCATATGTGTCTGGGACCCCCAAAGCGGCCTGATGCTGCCAGTCTGAGTAAGTTTATGTGTTTGCCCTTTAAATGCAACACCTGGGTCTCCAGCAGCCTTCATATCACTCAGCCACAATTCCCACTATTTTTTACAGCAATAGTTGTGGGGACCTCTTTTCCCAGCTCTGGAACCCTGCACTGGGGGTCTGGTGTGGGGCTGGGACCCCTTGCTCCTCACGGGGGGCCTCCCTGGAGGCAATCTCCCTCCAGATTAAAAAACAAAACAAAAACGGCGCACATGGGTGTCGGACCAGCCCGTTCTACGCCTCTGCCCCTCCTACTAGTCTCAATGTGTTTCTTCTTTACATCTCTGGTTGTAGGACTTCCATTTAGCCAGCTTTCAGGTGATTCTGAATGATGTTTGTTCTGTATTTAGTTGTAATTTTGATGTGGTTGTGGGAGGTGGCGAGTACAGGCATTTCCCTATGCTGCCATCTTGGTCTTTCTTCAGTCATCATTGACCTAATGTTCTTATGTGGCACATGGCTGTATTTTATCTGTGTGCATTTTTTGGAAGAGGTAGTGCCCTTTTAGATCCAGTGTCTGATAAATTCTTCATACCTACTCTCTTGATGTGTTTTCTTATTTTTTTCACTAATTGCCTTTTAAAAATTGTTGCTGTTACTACAAATGTCCCCCATTTTCCCCGTCCCCTGATGGTGTTTTCTTTTCAATGGAGACTTTGGAATGCAGGACTTCTTCAATCTCCAGGAAGACTGAATCTCATATTGAATTTCCTCTGCTCCACTCTGCTCAGAATCCCTTGGCATGAATGACTCCACCAGTGTGGAGAAATTGACCAGGAAAGTAAAGAGCTTGGAAATCAGGACAAGAGGAGAAGATTTTGCTCACGTGGGACAAAAGTCCTCAGTTATTTCCTGAACTAAAAGACAAAGCTTCAGGAAGAGAAGATCTTTTCCCCTTTTCCTTTCATTTCTGAAACTCAGATAGGAGAGCTGGAGCTACGGCAGCCCTCCTGTGGTCAGAGGCGGGAAGCAGAAAAACCGGACTCAACATGCCAAGGATGGAGAACTGAGAGGGTAAGCCTTTGGGATTCTTACAGCATTGTTGAGGAGCTGAACCAGTACTAGGCACCTGCCTGCCACTAGATTACTTATGTGAGAAGAATAAACTCCTTATTTGGCTAAGTCAGTGGTTCTCAACCTTGGCTGCACATTAGAATCAGCTGGGAATCTTTTTAAAATCCTGATTTCTGGGCCTCATCCTCCGGAAATTCTGTTTCTTTGTTACTAATGTTGTGGCCTCACCCCATAATAAAGAAACAGAATTCCCGGAGGATGAGGCCCAGAAATCAGGATTTTAAAAAGATTCCCTGGTGATTCTAATGTGCAGCCAAGGTTGAGAACCACTGGGCTAAGTACTGTTAATTGTTTCCCTATTACTTGCAGCCAAATTCATTTTTACTTAATTCAGCTGTGCTCAAGGAGAGAGACTTCTCTTTCTCTGGTGGGAGTCAAATAGCGGACTAATGTACCACAAAACAGGGATGTTACAGAGGATATTTAATGCCTGGGAGAGAGGATTTTGGAAGGTGATAAATTATTAGGAACTAGTGGTCTGCTGCACAAATTTGTACACATTGAAAGGAAATTAATTAGAAGAAATATTTTAATATCGCTATCCACCCTTTCTCTATAATAGAAGTATCAGAGATGAAAGAAAATTAGTAAAATGTATATGAAAATAATATATAAATTGATCAATAAATAAACAATAACAACATGATATAACAACAACAAAGACATGATCTAGAAACAACAAAAACATGATATAAAAACATTGATAAAAACAATGACTGATAAGTTGATTAAACTTATTCTAACACTGAGGCCAGTGTCAGACAGGGACAAATCAATTCTTGGAATCAGAACAACCTCTCCTCCGCAGATTCTGTTAATAGTTCAGCTTTGATTATGTTAAGTCACAATCTTTTGATAATAAATCTAGTACCATTACAAAGACCCCATTTACTATTAAGATTTCTCAGTAGTATCATGATTGCACCTACTTTCAATTCTAATTTATGACATGGCATTCTCGAAGAAGTAATACTTTTAAGAAATTCGATGGGAAAATTTTCCTTTTCGGCATCATCTGTTGAATCTAGTATAATTGTCGATTATATTGTCGTCTCTGAGTCTTAAAGCAATATCCGTTCCCCAGCCTTTTCCACCACGTGGGAAAAAATAGGATACGTCATTGCATCTAATGTAGGAAACAGGATACTGATTTGCTTCATTTTAGTGGCATTGGGATTACTGGGATCTGGTTTACAAAGAATGAGCAAGTCCCTTTCAAAAGGAGGTCCTCCATCTTTGTTTCTGAATATGAGTGCAACTTCCATTACACAGGGAGAATTATATCTACCCGATCACTATTACGATCATATTTAATTGCCATTGTTACTTCCATGTGATGCTACCGCTTTCTTTCAGCTTCAGAATGTCAACAAAAACAACCAAATTCACAATCGACAATGACAGATCGAAACACTTGCGTGCAATTGGCGCCAGCGAGAGCTTTATATGTATCGTGCATGCGCCAGTAAATTTAGCCTTTTACAGATACAGAACAAATTTGCTTAATTAGACCTGCTTTCTGATGTAGCTAAACTTTTTCCAGCCCAGTGAAGCACCCCAACTTCTCTTTCAGGTAATTGTCAGCAACACAGCAGTAACTACCAACACAAAATACATTATTGAAATGGGAATTTTTAGGAGTGAAAAAGACAGGTTTAGGAAATTCTAGAAAGTTTAGAAATTAAGGGAACCATGGAAGAAGCACAGGCTGCAGAGCAGCAGAAGGTATATTTCCATAGAATAGGAGAGCTGAAAAGCTGCAACAGGTACATTTCCATAGAATGAGGGAGCAGGGAACAGCAAATGGTCTATATTTACAAAATAAAGGGAAGGAAGCTCCTCATCTGAAAGGAGAGGAAAGCCCAAAGGGACTAGGAAAACAATAAGGAAGGAGGTTCAACCTTTGAGCTCAGGAGTTACCATAGTAACCAGTCCAAGGGAATAGTGACCAATCAGAGGGATATCAAGGCACAAAGATCTGGGGCCTTTACAAGCCACTAGAGGCCTGGTGCACAAATTTGTGAACGGTTAGGGTCTGGCCAGCCTGCCCTGATAGGGGCCAATTGGGCTGGCTGGCCAGGGGGAAGGGCTGTGGGCGGTTGGTGGGCCGGCCCCGACCCCTGGTCAAACTCCCGGTCAAGGGGACAATTTGCATATTACCCTTTTATTATATAGGATAGGGAAAAGGAACTCAGTGGGACTGTTCCCCCTGCCCACGTGGGAGTCTGTTCTGTGGGACCCTTTTCCCCTTCCCACATGGGAACCTATACTTGTTCTTCAATAAATTTCCACCTTTGGTATACCACCTTCTGCCCGTGGATTCATTCTTCGATTCCCAGGGACAAAGAGCCGGGGAACCAGTCTGCCCAGATGAATACCGCGTGTTCCAGTCCAAAAATTCCGTTTCATTCTTATTGTAGATCACACAGGGAGAACGAAGGGTGAACTATTTAACTGCGGCAGCGATTGACTATATTCTGCGCAGTGAGAAAACCTGAAGACATTTTCAAGGTCCACCATTTCTTATTTCTTTTCAGTTGGGTCAAGTTTCTAAGCTCTCTTAATCTCCGTTTTCCAGCTAATGAAAAGAAAATAGTTTTCTATCGAGTCTCCAGGACTTCTGTGAGGGTCAAATGAGGTGAGGCAGGGGAAAGCGCTCACAGACACTTGTTAGAGTGTGAAATGTTTGCACCTGAGGCTGGTCGGGGCTCGGAGAGGAAGCCAGGTGTGGCTACCTGACGTCATTACCCGGATGGTCGGACACTTAGCATATTAGCCTTTTAATAGATAGATTAGCATGTCGACTGTACATATTCCTTTAACAACAACGCTGTAAATATTTGGTAAGTGAATTTCTTGAACTAATTAGCAGCACCGGGAAGCTGCCTTTGTGATAGGGGTAATCTTGAGGGTAGCTGGGGGTCCGCACCCCGAGGGCGGAGGCCTGAGGGTCAGGCTGCGAATCGGCAGCCCTGGTCCCCGACCACAAAGCAGGTCTATGCCGGGAGGACCGGGCATCGCCCCTTTAACCCGACTCTCACCGGCCCGGCAATTTCCGGGGCGGTGTCATTGCCCCTTTAAGAGCGGTGCGCCCGCCCCGCCCCCGAGGGCGGAGCTTCAGGGGACTTTAAGGGGCGGGCCGGCGGGCAGCGGGGTCTCCGGGGATCTGGGTCTTGTGGGCTCTCGCCGCGGGCCGCCATTGCTTGGCATCTCCCGAGGGGCCGCCCCCACCTCAGCCTCGCTCGGTCGCCGCTGCGCCGTCCTCCCCCAGGTAAGCGCGAGGCCCAGGCCCCGCCGCCCAGGCTCGCCCCACCCCCCGCACCCCTCAGCTCGGGCCCGTCCTCGCTCGCTCGGGGGCTCTGCGCTCGCGACCGGGGCTGCGGCCTCTAGCCGAGGACAGTATGCTCCTGGAGCCTCCCGGCCTGGCCGGCCCCACATTAAACCGCCCGGGAGGGGAGGGGCGGCGGCGACCAATGAGCAGGGCCCGGCGAGTTTCGAGCGTCCCGTGCGGCGCGGCGGGATCGGGGGCACCGGGGGCGAAGCGGGTGAAGGTGCGCGGGCCGCCTGGCCGCCCCGAGTGGCCGGCGGGGGTCGCGGGGGCGGAGGGGAGGGGAGCGGGGTCCGGGAGGGGAGCGGGGTCCGGGCGCGGAGGGAGGCCGCGCTGCCCGGCACCTGCGAGGGGGCGGCTTGCCGTCCAGCTGGCGAGGTGGGTGGGGCAGGTCCGGGGTTGGCGCGCCGGGAGCTCGTCACGGTCCCACGAGAAACCCGGGCATCTGGGCGCTCACTCTCGTTTGGCTGGAACTTAGGTCCCGGGGGTCGTGAGAGGCAGGTGTGGCCCGGACGACGCCTCCGGAGGACCCTCCCCGGTCGGGGCGGGCGAATGGCGGTCCTTCGGCTGTAAATGCGAATTGTATTGGTCACTGTCTCCACGTTTACCGCGTCTCAGGAATTCCAGAGACCCACGTCTCTTGGGGCATTTTAAATGAATATCAAAAGCATAACCCGGTTTCTAACATAACTAGCACGTGGTTGAACCCCGCCTAACACAGTGGGTTATTTGTGCATATAAACTAGTTTCCAGGGCTTTACTGTTTTTCTCTAGGTAAACGTCATTTAAAACGATATGTACAGTATGCCTTGTGTTGAATTATTCCCTTACAAATAAAAATCCTCTTACAGGAACGTATGTTGGGATTACCGGGACAGAAGATAGTCCTATGTTTACGGCACTTGCTGGGTATTGGTATATTGCTTTATTAAAAAGCAATTGCTTACCAAAGATTGTGGCCACCAGCCATGTATGAAAGTACACACAAACTTTTGAGTTTTGCATAGGCATAAACACTTAATTTAGGTAGCACAGGCAATTGGTATTTTTATGATTGTAAAGGAAACCCTTCTTGTTAGTTTACTGCCGAAAAATTGGAAACAGCTCGGCCATGATGTGAATGGATCCGAGTAGTTCCCTGTCCTGGTATCTTCGTGAGGGACGTGCCCAGTAACACAAGTAATTTAAACAATTGGGTGTTTAATTACAGTTTCTTTAAGGGTCATAAAGAAAAGGCTCAGGGTAATAAAAGGAGTCAGGAGTCAGGAATGTTTTTCTGAGGAAAAGACATTTCAGCCAGAAACCTGAAATTAGTCATGTGAAGTGGGAGCGGGCGGGGGAGTGGGAGCGGTGGGCAAGGAGCGTTCCTAACAGATGGAGCAGAAGGGGAGAGACTCGGGCGGGCGAAGCCAAAGGGGCACCCGAGCGGAACCAGCAGCTGGCGGTGCGCTGCCACTAGCGATCCAGCCAAGTGGAGGAGCTGGGCCAGGGAGCAAGGAAGGACATTGACCCTTCTAAGCAGGGGTCAGATTGGTGGTTGCAAAAAGTCAGCATGCAGAACGTGGGAGGTGGGTGTGGGAAACGCGTGAATATGGGGACATTTTTTTAACAAAATTGAAAAAACTCTTGACATCTTATGTTCTGATAGAAAATTTAACTACCAACATGACCCTCTCCAGAGATAATTTCACTTAACAGTTTGCATGTCCTTCTATTCCTTTTGTGTCTATAAGATATAATAAGTAAATATATATGTACGTATTCCACCTCAGTGTGGGATAAAACTATATTCCTTTTTCTCTTGATTTCATTTTTCACTTAAAATTTTGTTTGTGTCTAAGATCAACTGTATTTTAAAAACAGCTATGTTGGCCGAAACCGGTTTGGCTCAGTGGATAGAGCATCGGCCTGCGGACTGAAGGGTCCCGGGTTCGATTCTGGTCAAGGGCACGTACCTTGGTTGCGGGCACATCCCCAGTAGGAGATGTGCAGGAGGCAGCTGATCGGTGTTTCTCTCTCATCGATGTTTCTAACTCTCTATCTCTCTCCCTTCCTCTCTGTAAAAAATCAATAGAATATATTTAAAAAAACAAAAAACAAAACAGCTATGTTGTATGCCATTGTATGTACCATAATTTAACTACTTGCATGTTGAGGGACATATTTAAAGTTTTCTTAAGTTAATTATGTCCTGAAAAATCCTTGTTTCTACAACTTGAAGCACGTGTGGGACTATTTCTTTAGGATATCCCACCAGAAATAGAATTGCTGAGCGAAGGATATGCACGTTAAAACTTGGTTGTCAGATCCTCCTCCAAAGAGGACAGTCTTTTTTCCCCATATCCTTTTCCACACTGGCCATCTGTAAGTCTCTTGAATGACAGACAGTATCTTATTTTTTAAGTTTGGATTTTCTTGGTTAATAATGTTGAGGTTGAACATCATTTTAATGGATATTTTCATTGCCTATCACTTTTTGGAGCTTGTTTCTTCATATCTTTCCCATTTGTTTTTCTATTGGGCTTATCATAATGATTTGTGATAAATCTTAAATAAACTGCATGTTAATCTTTCAAAAATTTTTTCTGTTTGTTTTTTTTAGTGTACTATTTCCTTCTAGTATTCATTTCTTTCACTTTAAATCTTTAGTTCATCTGAAATTTATTTTCATGTAAGTTGCTTTTACGTTTTTGTAAGAAGAACGGATTTGTGGAATTGGTTTTTATAGTTCTAAGTACATAGTTATTGGAATTCTAAATCGGGAAGAAGCTGGGTTTTTTCTTAGCAGGTTAATTCTGTATAGTGAGTCTATTTTCAAGGTGTAGAAGTGAAAGTCACAAAACTTGTTTTATAATTCACTTGTTTTCTAGAAACCTCAAAGGTGTAGTACATTTTGAATATTCTTTTCCTTAAAAAACTTTATGAAAAAGTTCAAAATATACCGAAGTAGTCAGAAAAGTATAATAAACCACATGTACCCATCATCCAGCTTCAACAGTTATTGGCCAGTTATCTGGCCAGTTTGTTTAATTTCTATTCCCACTTCCTTGTATTATTTTAATGCAAATACTAGACCTCATATAATGCCTTCTATAAAAATATCAAAATGTATCTTGAAGAGATAAGGACTCAAATATAATCATTCAAGTTATTCTAAAAAATTTATAAAAATCACAGAAAATGTACCTGTATCTTTTCACATTTTCCTGATGAGAGTATAACTTTGAAATAACATTTTCGTAATTAAAAATTTAATACCTGAACCCAATCAAAGCACGGTGTTTAAGTTATATCTTTGCTGTGTATAGTATTCTCATTAACATAAAAGAGGACACATTTTAGGAGGTTAAAAAAAAACAGATAAGGACTTTTTAAAACATTTTTAATAATACTATTTTATCTAAAATAAAAATGGCAGTGATTCTTTTTAAAAAAATGTATTTTATTGATTTCAGAAAGGAAGGAAGAGGGAGAGAGAGATAGGAACATCAGTGATAAGAGGGAATCATTAATGATAAGAGAGAATCATTGATTGGCTGCCTCCTGCATGCCCCACACTGGGGATCGAGCCCGCAACCCGGGCATGTGCCCTTAACCAGAATCGAACCTGGGACCCTTCAGTCTGCAGGAGGACGTTCTGTCCACGGAGCCAAACCAGCTAGGACCAGTAATTCTTTAGTTATCTATCATAAACAATCCAGTCAGTGTTCAAATGTGTGTGTATATGATTTATATCCTTGGGAAGTTCAAATGACAACTGTCATGGCTTTGCCAGTTTACATAATTACATAGGAGTATGCCTACTTGTAAAAGGAGGATATAATCCTCAATTTATAGCTATTGAATTATTTTTACTATGTTGGTGTTTATGTTAATATTTCATATTTTATATTTATCATGTTTACAAATGCATCTAGTTTAAAGCATCAACTGGTTATGCAAGATTTGTTAATTTTATATGTGTATGTATATATAAAACAAAAAGTGTGTCTTAAAATTATTTTATTTTGGAATAATTTTAGACTGTGTTACACCGGTTCTCAACCTGTGGGTCGCGAACAATGAAAATACATCCTGCATATCAGATATTTACATTATGATTCATAACAATAGTAACATTACAGTTATGAAGTAGCAACGAAAATAATTTTATGGTTGGGGGTCACCACAACATGAGGAACTGTATTAAAGGGTCGCGGCATTAGGAAGGTTGAGAACCACTGGTAGAAGTTAAAACAGTAGTACAGAGTTCCCATATACGTTTCACCTAGCTTTCCCCAATGATAACATCAGACAACTAAAAAAAAAGATTATTTTAATTAGGATCTAAAATAGGTCCACACATTGTGATTGTTTGATATGTATTTTAAGTCTCTTTTAAACCGTACCTTTGCATCTCTTTATCTCCCCCTTGCTATTTGTTGAAAATGCTGAATTAATATTTTTGAAAAATACATTCATCCCGTATGCTTTGTTTGCATTTTCATTCACCTTTTTCTTTCTTTTTTTTTTTTAACCTGTGCTCTTTGATAATTTATTTCTAAAGTGAGTGTTTTACCTGAATGATGCTGTGATGTAGTAGAAAGAGAGACCAAGATTTGGAGTCAGAAAATCAGGGTTTGAGCCCTGTCTTCATTATTTACTAAATAATGGTCTTGGCCGCCTGGCTGGTGTGTCTCAGTGGTTGAGCTTCGATGTATGAACCAGGAGGTCACAGTTCAATTCCTGGTCAGGGCACATGCCCAGTTTGGGGGCTGGATCCCCAGTGTGGGGCGTGCAGGAGGCAGCTGATCGATGTTTCTCTCTCATTGATGTTTCTAACTCTCCCTCTCCCTTCCTCTCTGTAAAAATTCAATAAAATATATTAAAAAAAAATAATGGACTTGGCCAATGGTTTAATTTCTCTGACCCTGAGTTTACTCATGCAAATAAGATAGTACTTC